AAGAGCTATAAGTATGACTAAAAACTTAGGGAACATCATATTAAAACCGAAGGAGCTCAACGTACTTGTTTAAGAAATGGTATTGAGGGAGACTTGGTTGGAGGGGGTAATGTTACAGGGGAGGTAAAGATGTAACTCTTTTCAGAGACCAGACTAATTCTTGTCTTAGGATGCAAACTGTAAAGATAAGTACCTATAGAATAACATATCAGTGATTGTGGCGATTGGAAATACTTAAAATACAAATTTGATCTTTTTAAGTAAATAGCTAATCACTAAAGAAGAGTTTGTGTTTTGTATTCATTAGGAAGACAGATTGTTTATCGCTGTAATCTCTTCTGGTTTTACAATCTGTGAAAAAATTATTGATGGCATTTTGAAGTTTCTTTTTGCTTTTTCTCTAGAATAATAGAATTGTTCAGGTAAGTCTTGGGAATTTAGCTAGTGCAGCTTCCTGCTTGGAGTAGGGCTGGCACTGAATTCACTCCAGCTTGCTTGGGATTTGTCTGGTCAGCCCTGCAAACCTCTGAGTCCCTGTTCCAGTGCTCTCGTGTCTTGCTGAAGAAAATGCTGTTTCCTTGGGTTGGGTCAGGGTCTGCCCAGCCACACTGCTGGTCCTCCTTGCCAGATGATCAATACCTGCTTGTACTGGGGATCACCACCAGGCATGGGGCTTTGTGGTGTAGTGAGTGCCAAGCAAATAGGATTAATCATTTCCGTTGACCTCCTACCTAAACTTCTGGTAATACAGCCCAGTACATGGCTAGGTTTCCTTGTTATTTTTATCCTGTAGCTTTTTGGGGTTTTTAGCAGTTATTTTAGACTCTTTCCTCTGGGCAGCGCAATAACAAAAATATGTGGTTCTCTGTTGAGGTTTATAGGCCATAGTTCAAGCACTGTTGCTGTTATAATTTGGTCTCAATGTTTCCGAGTTGTCCAAAAATCAAATTTTATCATGTTAAACTTTGCATTGAGGAAGGTATAAATGAACAAGAGAATTATCTTCTAGAAGCCTGTAGTCCTTTGTAATTTAACTATTAAATGTGGAATCTGCAAGATTGGAATTATTCAACTGTAGATTATGTGACCTGTGTTGGATAACTAAACTCTGAGACCATGCATACTCAGTTCTCTATCAAGCATGTTGGAAAATTAATTTTAAAATGTGAATTGGGGGGAAAAAATAAAGGAGGAGAAACAAAGTGAAAAGTATACTAAGCACTACTTCTCTATGAGACTTGAATTTAATAACAATTAAAACATGATTACTTTCATGCAAGCCTCCTTTTTCAGGTAAAGGAGGCCTGTCTTGTTAACACCTTTTCAGCAAACTATTTTTTTGGTTCTTTAATTTAATACAAGAAACTGGTAGGATGGACCTTGGTCTAGTGCTCATGAATTTAAGGTTACCCCTAGCTCACATTTTTCCTTCCTGAGTTAAAGATCACAGATATCATTAGAAACAGAGCTGGGTATGGGAGAGACTGTCAGTTAAGAGGTGACTGGGAGTCAGTGGGAAGCCACAATGAAGGTATTTATGAAAGCAGGCTTTGGAGAAAATGGTCTAAGACAGGAACCATGGAGGAAGAGCAGGCAGTAGGGCTCTGTGTGTGTCTGGTCGGGCTTTCCTGTAGTGACCTTGCCAGATTGTCACTGCTGTAGCCACCTGCTGGTGTTGTTGTTGCCAAGATTAGCATTCAGCACTGGTTCATGGACTTCAGCAGTGAAATGTAAGCTGTTTATTAGTATCTTTAAACCTCCCCAAAGCATATGGTTAGACATGACTGACTAATTATTTTTATTGTTTAATAATTTCCTGCTCTCCTAATACCATTTCCCAATTATATTGTCCCCTTATTTACCAGCTGCAGTTTTAATATAGTCCTTGGGTTGTACCAGTGACCCTCTTACTTGGCCTACCTCCATCTTTCTGTCCTGTTTTCTGTCAGCTGTCATTGCTACAAAATAGTGCAACATTTTCTGAACTTACAACTGCTTTTTAACAGCAGAGTTCAGGTTTGGGTTAGGCTTGTTGGATCACATTTGCACAGGGCCAGGAAGAATGCCCTTTCCCCCTCCCCTTTTTTCCCTTTTCCATGGAAACATGGGACTATTTATTTTTAAAAGTCACAGAATTAATTTGGAGAAAGAAAACTTTCTGCTTGGAGTTAGCCTGGGCCTCACAGACGGGCTTGCTGCAGGCAGTTGGAGATGACGTCACCTAACAGCTTGCGGTGTTTTCAGTTCCGGAAGTTATTCCTTGCACAAATTTATTGTCTGCGCATTTTGTCTCCTCCCAGCCACCTACTTCTCACATTGGCCTCGCTGCAGCTGCACTGTAGCTTTTGAGTTCTTTCCTTCCTCTTCTCTAGCCCTTTTCCTTTCTTTGTCTTTGTGGTTGGTGAGTTGCATTTTACCCCTAAAGGGACTACAATTGAAACTAAAACTCATTTAGTTCTTAGTTTATTAGTGTTTTTAAAAAGACTAAATAAATTTCAGTGGGAGGCTAAAAAGCCCTGCCTGCATGACAGAGAGACTGCAGGGGAGAATCCACTAAGTAAGTTATGTGCACATAACAATGATCATCCTGCTTTGTGCCCACTGTAGAATCTACATCTGTGAATACATGGAGTGTACTCTGAAAGCTGCATCTGTCACTTGGTTGCTGGTTAAGTCTTCTCATAGGCATATTACTGCAGGATGTTTTTGATGTTCTGACATTTTCCAGAATACTCAAAAGGGATTGAGTTACCAGGTTAGCTCTTATGGGTAGGTTTATTTCCAAATGGGTAGGGTACGGGTAGGTGTTTCCAAATGGCTTAGTGTTTGGATGTTTATCATAATTTTTTAATGCTATTACAGGGGTAAAATGAAATATCCAGTATTTTTTCTTGATAACAAATTAAAATAAGATTTACAGTATGTAGAACTGTGTATTATCCGGCAGTTTGCTACTCAGACGGGTTGGGGCACCAATATTTTTTTATCACTTGAGGTAGTAAACTGAAAGACTAGGTGATTGTTTGCAGACCAGCCTGATAGTTGAATTTATCTATTGTATCAGGTGAATTTTTACCCCTTCCTGTTCAGAACTGTCATACAGTATTTTGATGCTTTACTGCAAGTTGTAGAGGCTATTTTGCTTAAATACTCATGGACCCTATTCCCTACCTTTTGTCTACTTTTTTTTTCTTATATACCTCATCCTCACTAAATCTTTAGATTCAGGCTTTTTTTCCTTAGGCTTCATGCTAGAATCATGTTTCTAGTATCTGGCACAGGGTGGTGCTGGGTAGAGAAGGTATACAGAGGATGGATTTGTAATTCTGCTTTAAAAAAAAAACATGAAACAAACTGATTTTGTTGGTTAAAGTCTTGAACTTAAGCCAAATTTGAATCTTCTCTGTGAGTAGAGAGCAACCTGTGGGAGTCAGTATACTGTGTTTTTGTTTTCCACAATTTCAGTGTGGTGTGGAAGCAGTAAAACTTTTAAGTGGAATGTATCCCTATAGCTTAGATGGCTGCTGTGAAAAACCTTGATCTGGATGTGTAATTTGACAAAGTTACGGACATGTAAACAGAGGTTTGAAAATACTGAATAAACTTTTTGGATGAATTAAGCTCAGGAACTGTGTGATACAGATTTATTTCCTGCTATCTGTGCTTTTGTTTTGTTGACTTCTTCAACGGAATTGATAGCAAGATATGTTCTGTTAACAGCTCTCTTAAGCACTCTATGGATGCTTGGAAATTTAAAATGTCATGACAAAGTGGAAAATATAAGCTTGGGTTAAATGTTGTTGCATACCTTCTGTAGTAGCAATATTAAAAAAAAAAATCCAAAATGACATGAAGACAAATATGGATTCGGTTATAAACTAACTTCCATGTTGAGAAACTTTAATAGTTGAATGTGTGGTGCCTTCACAGAAATTTTCAGGTTTTTTGTGTAAGACCAGTGGGGTCAATGAGAAAAATCCCAAATACTACAAGGCTGTTGGTAAACTCAAGAAGATAAGAACACCAGTCCAGTAGGAAATAGTGAAACTGAGTGCTCCAACCTTTGGCCAAGATTTCTAATGAAATATTTGCAGAAGAGGAGGAATAATTGAGGGCAAAGCAAACCTGTGGTGGTAATGTCTTCCACTTTCTCAAGGGTGATGGTGGCTTGTGACTGATGCATAGAAAATAATTTTAATTTCATCCGGACCCTACAGTGCAGTCGGTTGCTGGAGTAGCTGTATGTAGCCAAGTTCACTTTCCATCTTGTGCTGCAATAGATTGAACAAAAATGTGAGAGCTTGAGCTCAAGTTTATACTTTCCCTAAAGAGCATTGTGAGCTGTGGGCTGAGACACAGATCAAAAAATAGGAGTGGAAAAAAAGCAGATAAAAGTTTGAAGAGAAGATGGTGGCCACTGTTCCAGGGGACTGTTGTCACTGTGACTTTCCACTGGCTTGAGCCAAGATTTATGTATCAGTCTCAGTAGAAAACATTTCCTGATATTGTAGGCAGAAGGGCTAAGGTACCTGTTTTGTGATATTGTAAGCAGAAGGGCTAGGGTACCTGTAGTTTATAGAAGTTAACAGAAGTTAACACACAAGCATTTTGCTGCAAATTCACAATTTAACTTAGGCTTAGGTTATTGTTTGGGTGCTGATGTTACTGGCTCATGTGTAGACTTAAGTTGTGATAAGTGCTGTGTGTAATTCAAGGTGTCTTGCCTCTTCTGACAGCTTCAGGACTCATGTGGAGTAGCCAGTTGCTATATATAACTTGGTTCCTGTAATTCCTAACTGCTTTAGATACTGTGCTATCAAGATGCTCTTTTTAGTTTTGCACTTATTTTTCTATAAGATGGTAATGGTTCATCCTCCATCAATAATCTTGTTTTTAAAATCCTCTTTTTTAATAACATATTCTTAATGATTAAAGTGGTTTTCTTCAGTCTGAAAAAAAAGACTTGTTTTATCCACTTATTTTATCTTTTCTGTTTGTAGGAGAGGTCTTCTCACAATATACATGGCTAATCAAGTAAGTAGTCCTTTATTTCAATAAAGAATAAAAAGATGTAAGTTCCATGGGAAATGTCTTGTTTAAAGGTGATAGATGCTGACATTCATTGCAATTTTTTAATTGTCACAGGATTTTTCTTTAAGAATTATGCATAATTAGATAACTAAAACTCCCTTAAGAGTAAATTGTGATCAGAGGTCTTTCAGAAGTAGTTGTAAAGCAGAGGCTTGAAATGTCGTTCATTGTACTATGCTCAAAGTTTTGTGTATTGTAGCCCCAAGAAGATGGTAATTTTGTATTTCTCTTCTGTGATAGAATGGCATCTGATACTTAAATGATAATTATTTTGCAGACGAGAAATCCAACCCCATATTTTTTTGCAATTAATAATTTGCAAAAAATAATTTAATTTGCAAAAAATAATTTGCAGTTTTGCAATTAATAATTTTACAACTTGTGTCAGTTGTGCATGCAAACATTTTTGCCAAGATTGTATCAATTTAAACCTTGATTCATATTTCTTTTACTCCTTCAAATAAATAACATTTATCTAAATGATGCTTTGTGCATTAAGTCTTTCCAAATATAAAATGTTTCTGTTACTTGATCACTCCTGTAGGAAAGATCTTACTTTGCTAAAGGAATTATTGTAAACTTTTTGTACAGTTTGAATTGCATAACTAGTCACAGAAACTACAAAAAAAGAAAACAAGAATTGTGTTCAGACTACTGAGGGAGTTTGCTGGGGCCTCCGTAGAGCTGTGCATGAGTTGAACTCTGATGGTGATGATATGATTAATGACTAAAAGAGGTGAGACAAAGGCAATGTCTCACAGTACAGATTAGGGTGATAAAATTAATAGGTTCTCTTTTGTCCTTGTACAATTATTGTTGATGACTTGTAATTCTGAGTATTTTGTTGGGGCGGAACTTTTGGGAGGAGCTGATATCATGACATGTTTTAGCAGGTAAATATCCTGGAAAGTCCCTTTATGCATTTACGAAACCCATTATATAGTTTTCTCTGAAACTCTGGTGCTTAACAATTTCTTTTAGGCTGGAATTGTTTATTGGGTTTGTCTGTATTCATAGACTCTCTCTTTACGGATAGACTCATGAGGGGAGGTCTTTACAGACTTCAGAAAAGAAGAAATTAATTTTTGCTTTTCATTTTATTATTGTTAAAGTACCATTGTAACTTTTATAGCTTCCTCATTTGTATGACTTATACTCTGTCCATTATGAAGTTTTTTAACTTACTTTGAAAAGGTGACAAATTCTTCTTTTGAAATTCAATTAATTAGCTGTTCAGACTCCAGTAATGCATGGGAACAATGTTTGGCTCCTGCAAGGAAATCTTAACCTTGGACATTTTCCTTGAATTCAGAATGGCACTGTGTAAAACTCCTCATTCAAGGAAGAGAGGTTATAAGGACAGTGGTATTTAGTTAAATATACTATCACTCCTTTGGAATAGACTTTCCAAGAGGAGAGGGCAATAGGTGTGCTTAAAGAGCAGCACCTCTAAGTATCAAGGTTCTGAGAGAGCTGTCATTGTGTTCATGGCTCTAAGGATGAAGTGCCACACCAGTCACCTGGTGTTGGACAGAGTTGTAAGGGAAAAGTCAAGCTATGTGGTTATATTTTATGGATACCATTCGACATGGATAATCTCTTCAGCAAAATGGCTTATTTTAGTCACAAATCTTTGGTGAAGCCAGAGCTGCCAGGCTTTGCTCTGTAAACTCATGATCATGTGATACCTTGTTAGCAAGCCCTGTAATCACTGTAAATGTTTCCCGATTTGTGTTGCTTATCTTTGGTTTAGAACTGTATTTGCTTTTATAAGATTCACTTATAAAGTTACTAATCCTTTAAAACATGAATGTCTGTTATCTTTAGATTGCAGCATGTCCCATTTTGAAAACTGTCACATTTTAATAATTTGTGATGGCAGATTGTGAAATTAACCTGCATTTCTTGCATTCTGTAAAACTCGTGTCAGGACCTGTTAAGATGTTAATGGGACTAAATGTATTCCTTTGTTTTGTTTCATGTTTTGCTACACTGAATTTTGCAGCCTGAGCAATAATAATTAAAGCTTTTTGTGTGATTCTTCATGTGTGCCTTTGCCCAGGTAGGCAGGAGGTAACTGTAATTACTGTTGATTATTATAAGTGATTATCATGACTGCTGCACTGAATTTTTATAGCCAGATTAGGGCTTTTAAATTAGAAAATTTTAGTCCTATTGTCCTTTATTTAGTCTTTTTAAGTGTAGTTAGTTGGCAGTATGTGACAATTCGTCCTCAGTGATGAATTTACTCAGTGGAAAGGTGTGTTAAATCTTTATGCATGGCTGCTGCTTTTCATTTCACCGAGTTAAATGCAGTAGAACATGAAAGGCAGTAGGGTCTAAGGACTCTTGTTTTAAACGTGGCATTTTTATTGTTTTTTTGTTTGTTTGTTTGTTTTTAATCTGGAACTACTAGAAACTTGTGAATGGAAACATGTGAATAAGTGTCCTGGTTCATTTTAAATAAGTCAGTGATTATAGATTTATGTGAAACTGAACTCCGTAGATGCATTTCCTTGCTACTTGCATGTTAACATGACAGATTAAAAATAAGATGTTTAGGGTATATATGCTCTATGGAAACAAAGGATAAAAATGTTTTTTTCAGACTAGCTTGCTGCTAAATTGAAGCTATATAAGAATGTACTTTAGGATTTGTATTTTTTTTTAAGATAGTATTTAGCAATAAGCGTGGGACTGAAGCATTTGTAGTTTTTAATTTTAATGTGCAGAGTCTAAGATGAACTTCTTAGGTTCTCACTGGAAGTAATATGAAGTTTTTGAACTAAATTAGTATGCCTAAGTTCTAACATTGGTTAACATGTGTGTTTGAGACCTGAAGTTTCTGTAATAGCTCAGAACAGAGTAGTGGTAATCAGTGCTGTGGACACATGGAGCCATGGAGATTTCAAGTTCTATTTTGGATTGCATGTATTAACGTCACAAAATTTCTAGGATCATAAGAGGTGCATTGATAGGAACGTATAAGATGATCCTTCATGGATAATTTGAGATCAAAAGGAACCCCAAGATTCCAGCAAAAGGTGGAAAGTGAAATGTAATCTTTCAGTTATTTTTATCTGGAACAGTAGATGATATTAATGACTGTCCAAGAAGACGACCTATAGCTCTTGTTTCCAAACCCTTCACAACACTTTGTTGTGAACAGCCCAACAGTTGAGTTAGTGCTTTTACATTGAAGAAACTGTGTCTTTGGGTTAGTATTTGGCTTTTCTAGTGTTTAAAATAAAACAAAGGCTGCCTTCAAAATGCAGGGTAGGAAGAGATTAATCTGAACTAGGACTGATTTGAGATAAAGCTTCTTTGAGAAACAAAACTTCAGAAAAATTGCTATGTTGCCACTGAAATGCTGCACCAGAGAGGAAGCAGTTACCCTAGCATGTGCTGAACTGCATGCTATGTTTGAAATTCAAACTGTGCATCACTACATCAAAGTCATTATTCATTCTCGGCTAGGACTTCTGGTGTATGGTGGGCTGCTTACAGAATTGGAAATGTTAATAAGAGACTTTTGAGGGTCATGGATTAAATGATATAAAGCTTTAGGACAAGGTGAAGCAGCTGGATGCAAAAGGCAGAGTGGTGCTATTGATGGCGGTTTCTTGAGAGATGGGAGGAAGAAGTGTAGGGGTATGTCCCCAGCCATAGAGAAAACATTACTGAATGAAAAGTTATAAATTTGAAAAGTAAGATAAGAAAGATAGGAAGAAAGGAAGTAGAGAAGCACAATCTACAGGTAAAACACAAAAATTTATTGTGACAAGAAACATGGAGCTGGACTGACGTAATGGGAGTTGGTGTGTGGGAGTGTTAGAGGTAAAACAAGTGAAAAAAAGATGAGAAAAAGTAGAGTTTATTCTAGTTAAAGCAGAGAGCAGGTGGTAAAAAAATGATGGGTTTGCTATGAAAGGATGGGATTAATTTAATAATTAAGAAAATTTTAGGAAGAGACTGGAAAGAGTCTCTTTCTCACAGAGAAATGATATTGTTGGTGTCCTGGAAATGGAAGTGGGGGAGATTGTCAGTAATTGCATTTGGATGGAGTTTACAGAGAAATCTGAGGATCCTTAATCTTATTTATTCCTGTGCTAATATTGGGTGCATCTACCGTTTATGAAATACTGCACACAGATCCTCATACACAGAGGAAGAGATATTATTTTAAAAGGTGCAGAATGAGTTGATCAGTGGCATTCCAGTGGGTGATGCTCTGCTTCTGTATATGATAAAGTAACACAGCTGAGCAGAGTTTTTTTCTGTTTTAAAGTAGTCCAAGAGTTTTACAGTTGAATTGTTTTTCAGCTGCATAAAATGGCTAAATCTGGGTTCATTTTGGCTGTATCATTGTTTATTCCAACTAGTCAAGTGTGAAGGTTGCATGTAAGTTGTGCTCTTAAAGCTTGAAATATTTGGTCTAGGAGCATGCAAAAATGCTGAAACACAGATTCAAAAATAAATCCCTCAGGATCTAATGGGTAAATGAGTATCCATTGCTCTTCAGTCAACTTTAACTCCAGATATTTGTATGATTTTTTTACAGGGTGGAAGTCATAGTGATTAAAAATATTACAAATTTTTCATGCTGTGTAATATTTTAAAAACCCTCAAAGCTATTAGCCTAAATTTAGATATCTGGCACACACAGAGAGCCAGGTAGATACCAAGCTTGACCAGAGATATGGCACAATATAGGACATGGTTCAAATGTTTGAGGCCAAGAACCCTCCAATATAATTTTCCATATACACTAAATTTGTTATTGTTTCATGCCTTTTGAGGGTGATAGGTGAATGGATGAAAGAAAGAGGAGTGAAACTTGCTGTGGCAAGAGAAAACAACAACAACCACTTTTAATCTGTGATTTTGCTGATCCTGTAGTTTTTTTTTGCTAAAGGCAAACTGGTAATATTGTAAAGGAAAGT